AAGTACAAGAAGATAAGGCCAAATCAGTAGACTATGTTATACACAATATTATAGATCATTACAATTTAATGGAAATGATCAGTTTTACAAAGTGGACTGCAGTTGTACATTAAAATTCATTATTATGTGGCTATAATTTATGAGTTATCATAAAAATAATTCAAATAAAAATGTCTGAAAGGCAGTTTTCTCTTTCCTTGTGTATAAAGACCACATAATGATACCAAATTAAGTACCCACCATTGCCAGACAGAGTGATACCAGTCTTTTCATCGTCATTGTGAGGGAAATAAGTGTTGCAGTCGGCACCTATCCAGTGTCTGTTACACACACACTTCAGCTCATTACTGCAAACCTGAAATCCAAAATAAAGCTACAGTAAACATCAACTCTCTGGTACGAAGATATGAAAAATAAACATTAATTTATAATTATGAATATTATATGCTTAGAATTTGATAATGTTAAAAAGGATCGGTACTTTCTTAATAATACTAATTACACTATTTCTCACTCCAATACCTAAAAAAGTATTTGTTGACCCAAAGGGAACAATGAATTTTAACAGAGGAATTAATCTGTATCTAAAAGAAATCAATGAAATTATTGTTTTGATTTTCATTAACATAAATTTTATGAGGGAGATTTTAAAAACTCAACAGAAAAATAATCATCAGTCCATTATGCAATACAAAGGGTTTTTTCCTTCCAAAGTAAGGGTCTTTAGGCAAAAATGGTATTAATTTTTTAGGAAGCAAAACAAGATAAAGAGAAGTCTGACAAAGAAGTGGGAAGGCCTGATGTTCTGCAGTGGTCTGAAAAGAAAGCTTCCTAAGATTATAATCCTGGCTCCTTAACCCAAGCCACAGAAACTAGCAACCTCAGGGTCACAGGAACTAAGAATTCCCACAAATAAAGCATAGAAAAAAAATTCACATAGAAGTAACAATTTTTTTTTAATTATATGAAAATAGTCTCTCTTCATTCATCTACCCAGGAAACAGAATCTACATCCCAAACTTGTGATTCAAAACACCTTTGAATGTAGTAAGAAGTAGAGTGTTAAGTCAGTTTTCCATTATTAGAGAGATAGCTGTTTAGGGTCATATCTATTTTTATGGTATAAAAGAAATGAATAGTTCCCCATGCTGAGGTACTGAATACTTACTCCATTTCCTGAACAAACAGTGCCTTCTTTACTGCTTAAGCAAGTACTAAAGTTGAAGGATGCCATGGGAAGACACCTGTGTTCTAAACACATCATTTGGGGACCACAAGGTGTCCCATCTTCCACATAGCCAAGATCTACATCTTCTTCAAGCCTAACATGCCCGCCACTAAAAATAAATTGGGAGCAAAAAGAAAATGATATTCCATTAATTCATAGTCATCTTGAGAACATGCTCAAAAACCTAAAAGTGGCAATATCACTTTCCCTATTTTCTATCTATTATTTAATAAAAACCCGTAGCATAAGCATGTTCAAACTCTGAATGGAGAAAGCAATTGAATCTTTTGATCTAATTCCTTTTGGAGAAATTGATATAGCTTAATATTTAATATCAACATAATGCTTATAAACAAGGGCCTGAATTGAAACAGCTTTATCATTTTGCCTTGGCCACCATGTACAAATTAAGTAAACCATTATTACTAGTATTTGATAAGTAGGTTTTAAGATTTCAAATGTGTTTCAAACAAGGAGAATTGGTTTTGGTTTCTATTACCCAAAAAGATTGCATATGTAAAAATTATATTTTAGAATGACTAAACTATTGTAGCTTCACTAGTTAAAAGAGCAAGCCCACATATTATGGAGATGCTATGTTCTCCTGGAGTCTCTGACCTGTTCCTATCTGTTCTGATCATCTCCATGTGCCTGGCATCTTAGAGATATAAATCTTGGATTTCCCCTATCAGTTGAGTATTGCTCTCTCTCCATGGTGGAGATCTTATTTTCTATATTTCCTGTCTTTCTCTTCCTTGGTTTACTCCTTCATTTTGATAGAGTGTAATTTCTAGTAGCTTCCTGAGAAAGGGTAAATTTTGGAGAAACTTACATATCTCAAAATGTCTTTATTTCCTACCCTCACATGTGACAGATATTTTCCCAGGGTACAAAATTCTAGTCTGGAAATAATTTTCTCCATTGTCTCCTGATTCCCAGGGCTCCTTTTGATAAATCCTAAACCATTTTAATTCCTAAGTCATTGCTTTTTTCTCCTCGCTGGAAACTTTCGGAATTCTTTCCTTTGTCTTAAGGTTCTAAAATTTCATGATGATATATTTAGACATGCCTCTAATGTCACTCCTTGTACCCAGTACTTGGTGATCCTGTTAATATGGAAACTCAAGTCTTTCAACTCTAGATAATACTTTTGAGTTATTCACTGAAAATTTCCTCCCTGCTATTTTCCCCATTCTTTATTACTTCTAAATTTGTGACTTTTTCTCTCTGTTCCATTTCTTTGCTTTTTTAGCCCTATTTTCTGGAAGATAATTTCAACCTCTGTGTTTTATTTGTGCCATCATATTTTTAATTTCCAACAGACTTTTTTCTTCTCTGAATATTCCCTGTATTTTTTTTTTTTAAATAGCACCTGATTTTCTCATTTGAAGTCTCTTCTCACTCATAAATATTGATAGGTGGTTTCCTTTTCCCCCCTTTTGTTTTTGTCTCCTTTTTTTCATGTTAGAGACTTTCTTCACGTATGTGATAATCTGCTCATATTTGAGGTAGGGAGCCAAATAGATGATTGGAAATTCTCGGACTTTCTGAGTGAACATCACTGAGGATGGACCACTCCCATGGCCTCCAGCTTGGAAACCTTCTCTATTATTCTTTGCAGAGTGTAAAGCTCATGTCTGCCATAGGAGGGTGGGCATCTTCCAAACTCAGTTTCCCAGTTTAGTAGACCCAGGGAAGCAATCTGCATATCTAACTGCTTCTTTAACAGACTTTTATCTATCTTCTTTATTTCAGCCCCTTCACCCCCACGCCTGCCATCCCCCTTCCAAAAGTAGATGATGCTGCCCATTTCTGAGTCTTTTGGGAAGTGACACTATATCTTGGGTTGTTTCTCAGTTTTCCCCTTCGCTGACTTTGGAATTCAGCTCTCTCTGCTAAGTCATGTGCCACACATTCATTTGCTTTATACATTCCAAAATTTCATTGCTGTTGTCTCTTCTCCGTTTCTATGCTTGTCTGTGGATATATGAACTCTAAAAAAAGATTCATTTAGTGTCATTTTAGTAGGATTTCAGCAGGGAGCAAAAGTAAATGCATATATTTAATACACTAATTTTACCCAGAAGGCCCTATTCATTTTCCTTAATAAGAATGAGCTAGGCCGCAGTGGCTCACATCTGTAATCCTAAGCACTGTGGGAGGCCAAGGTAGGAGGATTGCTTGAGGTCAGGAGTTTGAGACCAGCCTGTGCAAGACCGAGATCCCGTCTCTACTAAAAATAGAAAAAATTAGCCGGGTGTGGTGGCGAGCACCCATAGTCCCAGCTACTTGGGAGGCTGAGGCAGGAGGATCACTTGAGCCCAGGAGTTTGAGGTTGCTGTGAGCTATGCTGATGCTACGGTACTCTACTCAGGGCAACAGAGAGAGACTCTGTCTCAAAAAAAGAATGAGCTAAACCCAACAAGATTTTACTGACCAACTAAACAAATCTATCAACCACATAATATTCCATGTTCTAGTATTTCTTATCTTCTTTTTGTCTCTTTTCTGTCAGGATTTACTCAATCACCTCTATGAACTATACTGTATTTCGATTTACTAAATGCGCATAAACTGAAAACAGATGTAGCCCTAAGCTGCATTCCTGGGAAATAAGATGACTGATGTTCTCACAGAATGGTTAGATAAATACCTGCAGTTTAATGTTCTTCCCTGCTGCACAACTAAAGTAGATGTTATTTCACCATCGAGTTCTCCAAGCCGTGGGATATTACCAATATTGGTACATAAAAGGTAACCACATAATACATCCCTGTGTCAAAAGAGTACCAATTATTTATTTCTTTTTCCAAAGGTATAGCAAATCGCATGTATAGCTAAACGATGATCTATCATTTTAGCATTTGTTTTTCATCAACTGTATTATTTACTCATATACAAAACAAAATAAAATTAGTTTAAACTCTTACTGGTATACCAAAATCCCAATTGTTTACTAGCTTTTCCTTTACTGTCCATTAGTTCAAGTATTTAAAGAAAATTATCTGTCAAACAGACTTCTTTTATATCAGAATCTGTTTTTCCATAACACACCATTAGATATGCCTATTTTTTTAATATTTGATTAAGTGAATGAATGATCTTTGGATGAGCATTTTTTTTCTGGCATCCAGATGTTTCTTCAACCTGTCACCCCAGAATTAAAGAAGAAATTATACATTATGTATATTTTATTGATTTCCAACTACAAAGGCTCAACATCCTTTTTTGATATATTTCACTACTCCCCCAACTATCACATATGCTTCTAATTTACCTTATACAATATTTTTACAGGTGTTAAATAGTATCTTACATATTCTTTATTGATAATACATTTTAGTTATTAATAGTGATAATGATTAGCATATTTTAATAAATGTGAAGACTGATCAGTAGGCCAGAAAGATTAGATATGGAAATATCAGACTTTATCAAATGGAGAAAAGAGAAAAATTAAAACCTGCATTTATCACCAATATAGAAAAAATATATATTAATTTATTCTTTAAAATAATTCTTTGAATTATATCATCATTTTACTGTATCTATCATAAACAAAAGGGCTTTCTCAACACAGAAAAGATATTCATTCAAAATTTTTTTGCGTTTCACTTATGTGTATGAGCTTTACTAAGTAATTTAGAATACATAAAGAAAATTTGACAAGATCTTTATCCTCAAGGAAATCATAATCTGGATGAGAAGATGAATCACATACATAAATAACTTTAACTAGGGACAAAGGCCATAAGTAAACAGGGCCGTAGGAGTTCAGAAGAGAAGGGAAAGATGATTTATTTCCAGAGTAAATCAGGAAATAATTTACAGAGAAAGTGCTTTCCGCTTTTCTTTCTGCTCTGAAGAATGTGTAAATTTTTAATTGCCAATGATATGGGGTATAAAGGAAGCTTCCTGAGGAATAAATAGCACAAACACAGGCATAAAGGTAGGACAGTGTAATGTACATACAAGGAAGAGTTAAGGTCTGCTAGACTTGGAAGAACAGAGAAGATAAAAAAAAAAATGTAGGTAGGGGCAAATTGTGGAAGAGGTATGGTGTCAAGCTAAGGTTCCATTTTTTTTATTAAATAAGAATATGTCATTCAGCAAACTGGTGAAGAGAGAGTTCTGAAATCAGACTGCCTGAATTCTAATTTAACTTATTATTAACATCCTATGTACATAACCTTGGACAAATTAACTGTGTCTCAGTTTCTGCCTCCATAAAACGGGAAAACTGCCATAAAGATTAAATAACATAGCTGGGCATCGTAGTTCACATCTGTAAGCCCAACACTTTGCGAGGCTGAGGCAGGAGGACTGCCTGAGGCCAGGAGTTTAAGACCAGCCTGAGCTGGTCTTAAAAATAAAAATAAAAAAATAAAATAAAAATTAGCCAGGCATGGTGACATGTACCGGTAGTCCTAGCTACTTGGGAGGCTGAGGTGGGAGGAGAGTTTGAACCCAGGAGTTTGAGGCTGCAGTCAGCTATGATCGTGCCACTGCACTCCAGCATGGGCAACAGAGCGATATCTTGTCTCTTTTTTAAAAAAGAAAAAAAAAATATTAAATAACATAACTTATTGTAAAGTGTGATACAGTACTTAGCACATAGTGTGCACATATGGACAATAGGCAGAGGGAAGATAGAGTCAAGGATCACTCTGAGGCTTCTAAACAGAAGGACAGTAAGATATTGAGACCTTTGGCAAAAACGGGTGGTTTAGGAATGTTAGAGCCAGTTAATTCAATTCAACAGCACCGAGTATACATTCCGGTTGCTTTAATTTCTGTTGCTTTTGACATGGGCTAGAAAGTGTCTTCTAGGTAAGAAAGTCCTGCAACTGCTGCAGGTGTGACCTGGGCCTTAGGAGAGAGGTCAGGATACATGCTAAGATTTGGAAGCCCTCTGTGTAGATGACACTGGAGCACTGGGAAGAGATGAGGCGAGTAGGCAAAGCACACTTCACAGGATGCAGAAAACATGATCTTCCGGCCACTCAATACTTATGTTTGTAATTGACCGAGGCATGAATTCCAGGCTAACTTCACCACCTCACCGTTTGTTGCACTGTATCCATGTGTCTTTGTCCTTCCCACAGTTACCCTTCTCGGTCCCTTCGATATTCAGTTTCTCATAGCAGTATTTGTCTGATGCTGTCACCTCTGAAGCAGAATAAAATTTTCTATCAGTGAGGGAGGTAATGTGTGGGCTGTTCAAAATGTTTTCAGGAAAGGAAAACTGCAAGTTAAGAACACTTCTTCACTTTAGTGTTATATCGATTGCAAAAATTGCACCCATGGTTCACAAGAGTTTTCCTATATCAATAGACATCCACGACTCAGGTACATTTTTCATGAATGCTCACTTGAAATTTGGAAAAAAAAATATATTTAGATTTGATGAGATTTAGGCTACAAAAATAACACTCCTCAGGATTTGGCTAGTAATTAGGGGAAGATGATACCAAATGGTTCCTCAAATAAATATTCTATGCTTTAATCTCAGAGGCAAATATAATGCGTGAATTTCTCAGCAAATTTTAATTATAAAGACAATTTTATTAAAATAGTTATGTACTATAATTAGATTCAAGAAACAGTGATATAATTTCTACCTTGCTCACTAATTCTTACCAGCTATCAAAAACAATTTTATTTTGCTTTTAGACAAGCTTGAATTCATGCTAAATCTCTGAGAGTCAAATAACATTTTAAGGTATGTCAGCATCTTTGTTATGTGTTTATCTTTTCTGAAGTCAGGCTGGTTGATGGAGTTATCTACAAATTAAAACAAAATGACTTTTCCAAACTAATCAAAGGAGTGTGTGTGTGTGTGTGTGTGTGTGTGTTTATTTAAACACCAACTAATTATGTTGGTAGTTGCTTTATCTACTTCTTGTTAGCAGTTACTTTCTACAAGTGGAGGAAACAAAAGCGATATGTCTTTGTTCACAGCACAAATGTGCAGGACTAAATTTTCCCCCATCCCAGTGTTTCTAGTTGTTTAAAGACAGCATACACTTCCCCTCCTAAAAGGATTGCAGTCACTATCTACGACTATTAGAATTATTATTATTTTTACAGCTTTTTTCCTAATACAAATTGTTGAAAGAGTTTAGAACAAAAACTGCTTTTAAAAGTTTGG